ATATAAATTTGAATTAATCGATTAAAAATATTCAAGCAATTTTTGTATCATAGTTTTGATCGATTAAATCTCGTTTTTATCAATTAAAACACCTTTGAAAAATTTCTAGAATTATTTTAATCAATTAAACCGTATTTTTATCACTGAAAACGTGTCGAAAAAAATTAGTAGAACATTTTAATCAATTAAAAGGAATTTTCATCAGTTAATATCGTTTAAACTAAGTTGTTTTAATTGATTAAAGTACGAATTAATTGATTAATCAATCAGTTAGTTAGAAAAATCTCTATATAAACAAATTTTCTCCAACGTTTCTAAACACATCTTTGAGAAATCAATCAAAAAATCTTTAGAGATCCTTTTCAAGAGAGAAACTTGCTTTTCTCATTAGAATTCTTTAGCAATCTTTTTATAGGCTCTTTGTTCTTGATTTTTGAAGAAACTCACTCTGTGGTTGAATCTTTGCATCTGCATACTGGTTTGATTGTTGTAGTTTCTTCTAGTTTTTCAATTCTCTTTCGATTCACTGTATTTTCGTTGCCTGGACGTGTGGACATTGGTTCAACAGCTGAAATTTTGGTTGTTATCATAGGTTCAAGAACTTGGTTAAAGTTCTTGGTGTAGATTATCTGTTTGCAATCTATTCTTGTAATCAAACGAATTCTAATTAGTGAAACTCAACTGGAATTTGGTTAAGAACTAGATGTATCCTGGTGGATTGGGTGAACTAATATAAAACTTGGTGTTCTTGCTTTTCTTTTATCTCTTTTTTTTTCATTCTGATTGCTAGTTTTTGATTCAAGATTGGATTGGATTCTTAAATCTCTAAAATTTATAATCTGTATTCAAAAGTTGCGAACAGTTTTTGTTTAGATCAATTCACCCCCTGTTGATCTCAGTATATATTTCTAACAATTGGCACCCTAGCTGGGTCTTGAAAGTCATTCAAGTTTTTCGATCCTAAAGTTTTTTTTTTTTTATGGTTGAAAACAAATTACCTTTTTTCTAAGGGAGCATCTATCAATAGACATCCACTATTTTGTGGTACAAATTAATAATTTTGGAAGATTAGAATGAAAGTTTTTATTGAATCAATTGATAAGAATATTTGGAATGTTATTGAATTAGGTCCATTAGTTACTGATAAAGATTGGTCAGCATTGAATGATGATGAAAAGAAGAAAATTCAGCATGTACAATCATGCTTAGAAAAAAAACCAATTTTGGTTATTACAACCAGAGTCGGGTAAGAGAGTTAGTTACGTGTGGAGAAGGTGTTAGCACCCCACAATACCCCTTTCGGGTTTCCTATGATGGACTAGCTTATAAAATAAAAACTAAAGAAATTACGCTTTTACCCTTATTATTTCATCTACTTGCAAAAATTAAACGTCTACGTGACTCTAATATCTAATATGCATACAAAGAAAGCTATAAAAAAAAGTAATAAAGGAGAGTATGTGAAAAGAAACCTCCAAGGCAAGTTTTGTATTAAGTGTTTGAAAATTGAGGATATTTTTTGGCTATACCTCACTCTACAATGCTGCTCACGCCTTTATCGACAGAAGAATTTTAACTACAGAGTATCCAAAAGAGCACTCAAACTCTAGAAATGCGTCAGAGAGGTTTAAGAAGAGTATAGGGACTCGAAATTTGTGCAGAAGTGTGTCAAATGAGGAGGGGGAGAGGCTTATTTATAGGAATTTGCACCTCACAAGTGGTGAGACGACCGTCTCGCCATGTGGCGAGATGACCGTCTCGTCTCATGGGTGGTGAGATGGTTGTCTCGCCTTATAGGGCGAGACATCCGTCTGGCCAAACGGGACGGCCGTGTCGGCTCTTTGACGAGGACTCTCTTATTTTTGTGTACAGGAGGCCTTTCTATTCTACTATGGAGTCTAGTACATATGCCTAGAGACCTAAAGAGGTATTGCTCATCTTCGAATGGAGGTCTTCTGACTTTATTTGTGAAGGCGGACAAGATTTTGGGTCTATAGTTAGTATCGTGCCTATTACAACATGAGTGCAAATAACTAGAGTCTAACCGTGAGACTCTAGTTGAGATAGGTAACTCACATTTTTCATGAAGTGGAATGACTAGTCTGATGGCTCCATAAAGAATATGTGTATATATTTCATTTTTCCAATATCAAATGAGATTTTTGAAAATCTCAATATGAACATATTGTTCTTTTGTGGTTATAACTAAAGAATATTGGTTCATTCTTGAAGACTCAAAGTATTATTTAATATAGAGTCTTCCAGTGAATATAACTTTAGAGATGGATAAATATTTATCTTGTAAAAATTATAAAAACTTAAAAGATGATTATATGTTTATGAGATTTAAATATCTTCGAAAACGTAGAAGTATTATGAAATTTTTGAATTTATGAGATATTTTTTGAAAGAAAAATAATAAAATTTATATTACGATATTCTCTTCAAAAAAAATATGAATTCACTCTTATATAATTTTAGACATAATCATCCATTATACAAATAAAATCAACTTTCAATAACAAACATCAATCACTATGACACTAATGTCCACTCTAGAATTTACATTATAAAAGTTGTATAATATAAGATATGATATAATGAAAGGAGGAATGGGGTGGTACCAAATTTCCTTATGTTGTCAATAAAGTCTGCGTTTTATGCTCTTTTTTCTTAATACGGGAGAACAACCTTTAACTAAACTCAAAAAGTGTCGCAAACATCTATAAAGACCAGTGTCTAGTGAGTCGTGACCGAAGAAGACCCTCCACTTCTTTTTATTACGGAAGGCTTGTGTTTATATTTGTTTGAGAAGGGTATTCGATTTGCCAAGAAAAGCTAGGTAGGTCTCTGACAAGATCATAAAACTATTTACGGTTTTCCAAAACTCATTGATCAAATTCCAAACAATGGGTGAGATTGAGAAGTTACGAGATCATGAGATCCATAATTTAATTCTATATTCTACTAACTATAACCCTCTTTTGAACCTACTACACTAACGCCTCTATTTGTTGAAAAGTAACCGACACAGTGGTAAATAAAGATGAATTAAAAGATCCAATTTCAAATAATCCAATATTTTAAAGAGAACAAATTCAGTTTTACTCGAACCGCAAACTTGACATGTGAGTGCTTGAGAGAGAAATATTATTGCTTGGCCTTCTCAGTGAAAAGTTTTCAACCCTACCAAGACTTTTGACATGTGATTAAATATTAATTTCACATCTTGGCATCTAATCTTTACTTTTGGTCATTCTAAGGCACACAAATAGGGATTGGCACCATAAATTAATCATAATATACTATTAAAATGCCATTATAACAAAGTAATGCAATCATCACTTTCAAATTAAGTGACCCTTTGCTAAATAGGATCTCATAGCATTACATTTTCAAGTTTATTTATTGTATTTAACTATATCCAGACTCGACATTTGTTATGGTGAGAATATATAGGCGTAGCTAATTCTGTGATTGATCATGCACGGTTCCTCCTAACACAACACTACTACTTTCAATGTAGTTAGCATTCAATATTAAATTAATAGAATGCATGCTTTTATAAAGTTGCTTTCTCTAGTTTTTTTTCGCTCACGCACAAAACAATCAAGAAAAATTGAGCCAACAAAATAAATAGATTTAACACACATATATACTGTAACAGGGAAAAGCGTTGAGGAATTTCGATTAAAGAAATGTTTCCAAAGTGGAAAACACAAAATAGGATGCATGATACATGAATGTGGCAATATCTTTTGTTAAAGGAAAGTGTTGAAAATCGTATTTCATTCAAAAAGATTAAGCTTAGTTTCTACGTTTAACTGTTAGAAAGCATAAGAAATAGTGAAAACCATATTGATTTCAATAAACTATAAGCTTAGTTTGTACGACCAACAAAAAGCTTGGTTTGAAGTTTAAACCCACAATTCAGATTGGTTTCACGGGCTCAACTATAGAGATTAAATTATTATGACTTTCTGGTGATTTTCAACAGCGTGTGTTGAGGAACAAAACGCAATAACGTAAATGAATTGAATCAGATTTTCCATGACCATATACTCCCCCAATAGTTTCCACGCATAACGGGTAACTACCATGATAGTGATTGTAATTTGCACTGACTTAGCAAGCTAGGCAATGAATTAGTCATTAAATAGTGAAAAAATCTATTGCGGAGATCGATGATTTTAACTTTGTTGGCTTTCTGAATTTTCCGTTCCTTTTGAAAAATATATAAAGCAAAAGGGTTTCACAAAGAGACAAAGAGAGTGTGGGTTTTATCTTTTTAGCCCAAAGTCCAAGGGTATGTGCAGAGAGTGCTGGAGAAGGAAATAACAACACTCAAAACAAAACATCAAAAATTGCGTTTTCTTTAGTTTAGTGACAAGACAACCCACACGAGCGGTTCTCGAACTGCATGAACTGCACACACATCATGGACTTTTCTAGAGATAGAAATTGAGACCACCCACACACTCACAACACTATTTATTATTACTTTCGCACTGTGATTTCATCTCAAAATAAAGACAGCTGATCTCATTTCCCTTCCTCTCTTTCTTCGCAGATGTAGAGAGAGAAACATGAAATATAGTAAATAGAATCGTGTGTGCTCAAAATTTTTCTCAACTATTTTGTCATTGCTTCCTTCTCACTCTCTTACATGTTTCAAAATTGTTTCAAAATTCTCTTATTTAAAACGTCGTTGTTCAAGTGTTTTCTTCTCATTCTTGTAACCCAACCCTCCTTCTATTCTCTCTATGTTACTCTTTTTCTATGTGATTTAGTCTCACTCATGGATAGGAACAATATTGTGTTAGTAACGGTTTTCCTTCCTTATTCTCTATGTTTCTGGCATTGAGTTAATTCTTAGGGGAGACAGGAACCTATTTTGGGAACGCTTTTGTTTTTTTTTGTTCTTTTTTTTTTTTCTTGTCTCCATGGGTTCTTCTTCATGGTACTTCAATAATGTTGTTGGTGAAGGTTTCACTGGAGTCATGAGTTCCATCCCTTCTTCTTTTCATGTGGGTTCCCAAGCTCCGCCCTTAGGTCATGCTAAGGGGGTTTTGGGTCCAAACCTTGAGATGACGTTGGGCCCTTCAATGGTTCAGCCCCAGGAGTGTAAGGGGACAAAGAGAACCAATGATGAAAGGGTCGAAAACAGGAACTTGTGTTTGAAACGTGGGGAAGAAGGAGAAGCTAAGGGCTCTGCTTCAGGGAAAGATAGGTTCACCAAGCTTTGTGCTAGAGGTCACTGGAGGCCAGCTGAAGATGACAAACTTAAGGAGCTTGTGAGCCAATACGGTCCACAAAATTGGAACTTGATTGCTGAACATTTAGAAGGAAGATCAGGTAACTTAATTAGCTAAAATTTACTCTTAATTGGTTTAAAGTTTGTATTTTTAGTCGTTTTTCTGAAGTTAAAATTTGCGGGGATAAAAACTGTTTCTTGGTATGGAATATGGAACAAATCTCACCTTGCATGATTTTCTTGTTTCTGTAAAATATGTTGATTGCAGGAAAAAGTTGTAGATTAAGGTGGTTTAATCAGTTAGATCCTAAGATCAACAGAAGGTCTTTTTCTGAGGAGGAAGAGGAAAAACTTTTGACTGCCCACAAAATGTGTGGTAGCAAATGGGCCATGATTGCTAGACTCTTTCCTGGAAGAACAGATAATGCAGTGAAGAACCATTGGCATGTGATGATGTCTAGGAAGCAGAGGGAGCAGTCTAATAGTGCGTATCGAAGGAGAAAACCAATTATTGATGAACCTGTTCCGAAGGGTTTGAATCTGACATTGTCTAACAACGCAACTAGTGAGTCAACAATCTCAAGCACCATTGATGAGTCTGCTTCAACTTGCACCAACTTCTCCCTTACTCCCTCTTCAGCCAGGTTGACTCCTTCTTTTGAACTCTTAGACCAACCAGGTCCTTCTCAAATTCATCAAGCCTTTCCATCAAAAATGGGTATGCTTATGACTATTATTTTTACCCTTCTAGTGCACTTTTTTTTTACTTTGTTATTAACTATAATGGGTCATTTAAGAAAAAAGCTATCAAAATAAACGAGTTTGAACAACGATGACGTCATCAAAATGACAATTTGTTTTAGTGACGTATATAGTAGTTCAAAATGATGCAAGTATAGTAACTTTAATTTATTATTATTTTAAAATGAGTTTATTTACTATTAAGAATGTATTAATTTATAAAACAATGTATGCGTGAAATGAAAATTATTTATTTATAAACTAATAATGCGTTAAATATGATTAAACATATTGGACATTTCATTACTTATATAAATAATTATTATTATTATGAGAACTTTTATTTCGACACATATTGGGTTATTTTAACTAGTTTATACATTTGATCTACTACGTTCTATTTAATCTTTTATCGTCAGATGCTTGCAAAAGCATTTTTTTTTCCCTTTTTATTTCTTTGACTCTAGGTTGAAAACGATTTTTTATTTTTGAGAAACTTACCATAGACACATTATTTAATCACACGTAAAGAAGAAAGGAAGTGGTGGTAGTGCACGAATTTCCTTATTCTTATAAATAATTTTTTCCATGTTTGTGCAAAATATTTTTACTTAAATTTTAATTCCATTTCTATTTTAATGTTTTTTTATGAAACTCATGTTTCTAGCATTATCATCATCGTGAAATACATTCAACCAAAAAAGAAAACAAGAAAATTATTGAAATGAACGATTAAATTATTGTTTTACCTTCGCATTAACAAAATTATGTAATCGTTAGATCGTATTACCAAATACAATTTTAATAACTTTGTAACAAAAAAATCAGTTAGAAACATGATTTTTCGTACAATGAAATGGTGATTCTGAACACGTTTATCGATTTCTATAATTTTGTAGAATTCATCTATTTTTCAAAAATATATAAAAGCAAACTACACGTTAAATATAAAGAAAACCTGTTGTGTCTGCTTTATGTTTGGTACATGTATTATTATTTTTGTTTCCTCTCGAGTATCAATTGGTACATGCTCCCTATATCTTTGATGATGTGATTACAGGACAATCTAGAGCGGATTTGAAGTTGAACAAATATTTTTGTGGTTGGAACGGGTCACATACTGTTGAATACGAGGGACAAATGCTAATGGGAGTGGACCAGTCTAGTTTTTCTGATGCAAACTCAGAAGTATCAGTATCTGAGTCAGTTGCCACCAATAGGTCTAATCTCTCAATTTCTGCAGAGAAAGAGAGTGAAACTATGGGTGGTAAGATTAACATGTCATTCATTGATTTTCTTGGAGTAGGAGCTACTTGGCCTAATTGCTGATGCAAATCACCACTGAAAGAAACAAAAAGCTTCATTATCTAGGAAGGTGAGTGTAGTAGTCAGGTTAGGAAGGGATGGTGCACTGTTGTGTTTGTTGGGGTGGAAATAGGAGTGTTGTATAACATTCCTTTTTGTACAGTTGGTTCCATAAAAGGCAAAAAAGTAAATGCGAAAAATAAATAGAAGGAAGAATGAAAAAAAAAAAAAAAGATGAAAAAGAAGAAATGAGCGTGAATCTGTTATTAACTTATTAGTAGTTCTATGATTCAAAAAAGTATAATTATATTCAAACTCATGGTTTTGGATGCTTGCTGTAACAACAGAAGCAAAGTCTTGTAAGCCTGTTGTACTTTTGGCACTTTGTTAATCACAAGCCAATTTTTCTTGGACTCATCTTTTCATCAATTAGTCCACCTCTTTTCAATAACTCTTCTCACTGCTGCTTCATGGTTTCTTTGGCTTTTGTGCATTGTTGTCTGGCATTGTGTTTGGTGTTGCCACTTTGACCATATTCAACATGCAATAGTAACTCTTCTGAAATTTCCTACAAGAGATCATGATTCCTTTTTTTTTTTGGATAAATTTAATTAAAAGCACCTGGATTAAACCAACAGTTGTTTTGTACGCTAACTGAATAGTTTAGCTGATAATGGGAAATTGTGTCATGACAATGTTAATATAAAACTGAAGAAACTGTTGTGATTGAGAACATAAAGAAAAAGAAAGTGAGGGTGTTAGACATAACAAGTAAATGTGGAATGCACTTGAGTGTTTGAAGTTAGTGCTTAGGAGGAATAGAGAGTATGAGAAGTACCAAAAATCTGGTGAGGGAAAAGAAGATTTTTTTATTTTTTTTTTTCTACTGAAAATGTGATGTTCAATTTATCCAGTCGTGACTCTTAATAATTATTTTTGCTTTTAAAGCTATTTAAAATGGGAGACATAAATTTACTATTCATATGATATAAAAGAATTAAAATTTATGTCAACTATTATTATAATATATATAAATATTGAAATGATTATTTATCTCTCCCTTAATAACTACCTACCTTATGAGATTTGTAACAGGTGATTGCATTTTTTTTTATTTTTTTTCCTCGGACAATGAGGATGGAGGGAGGATCATTGTGTTTTTTTTTTAATTTCTCTAGTTGTTTTTATATTTTATTTTGGGTTTTCTCTAGTTATTATTTTTTTTTATTTTGGGTTTCCCTGCACATTTAACAATAATAATCTAATAGAGAAATATAGAGTAATAACTTCAATAATATAAACGACATTTCAATGTTATTAAGGAAAAATGTTTAAAAGTACCAATTGGTCATAATAAGAAGCTCATATAGTAATCGTAGTTGTAGTTGTTTAACGAAAAAACCTTCTCATACACAAGAAAAACGAATTGTTCAAACAAACATAACACAAATTTTATGTTGGAATTATATGAGATTTTTTGTTACATTCTGTAATAACTAATCTGGCAAGAAAATATAGTCTTAAAAAAAATACACATTATACACTAAAGAGTTTTATATATAATTAAAATTGATTAATACAAAACCACTTCCATAAAATAATAAAAAAAGTAAGGTGTTTTATAAAAGAAAATACAAACGAGCGTTTGGCAAAATAAATATAAGAAATTACCACGTCTAAACCTTTCACGCAATGAGAAAATCTACTACTAATGACAAAACTCGAAGAAGAAGGATTCGAACGCACTTCGACAAAGAACAAAATTGTTTTCTTTATAAGATTTTTAGTGAGTTATTTTAGATAATGACTTAATTATATTTATTATTGAGATGTATCATATTTTCCGCTTCAATTAACAAGTAATAAATTTATTTTAATTTTTAAGTATTTTTAATATTAAATATTTACTAAGGTAAATAAAGTTAAAAAAATTCATATTAATTCAACGAACTCTACCATAAGGATATATTATTAGGATTTTTTATTTATTTTCATAAGCATGTGTTTATAAATAAAATTAAAAACGTAAATAATTGAAATAGATTTCGGGGAGAAGTAATTTTTCGTAATTAATTAAAAAATAAAAAAATGAAACATTTTTAAAATTTAAAATTGATTTATGTATTAATTAAAGATTATATAGAGAAAATAATACAAAAAATTCACCATTAACTTTTATTACTATTATTATTATTATTATTATTATCTCACTATTTTTTATTCTAAAATAAATATCTCATATAGTTTTTATGTATTCAAGCGAATAGATTTGCTTTTAATTTTTTATTAAATAATTATTCAAACCAATTATAAAAATTAATCGATTAAATAATTGTTCCAACCAATTATTTAAATCTGTTTTAAGAATTTTATTATTATTAGATTATTTTAAAAATTATAAAAAAGTTATTACAAATTTTAAATATTTTTTTAAAATAAAGAGATAATAAAAAAAATTATATAATCTTAACTGTATTGATAATTTGATTTCTCATAGTTATATTAATAACTTTAATCATAGTTGGATTTTGAATACTTGAATAAAATAAATGTAACTACCATTAGCCACTGTAGTTTAGAGTGATCTATTAAGCTGGGCAATTAATTAATCATTAAAAAATATAATAAACAAATTATTAATGTCGTGGAACATTCAGCCGACACCATTGAGAACGAGGAATTATGGGACGCATAGGTTTCCTACAAATGTTACAATATTTTAAATTTTCCTACGAAAAATTTGGCAAAAGATATTTTCAAAATGGTTTATTTTAAAATATTTAAAATATAAATCTAACATGAAAAACATTTTTTTATTCAACTTTTGAATTTCGTAAATTAAAACTTTTATGTTACCAAAAGATTTACTAAAATGCATCCAATCAAGAAATTAAGGGATCAATGAAAATATATTTTTATTATTAAAAATTATACTAAAATTGTATTGACAATTATTAAAAAAAATGCATTTATAATTTTTTTTCTATTTCTGGTAAAATTCAATTACCATCTCTAGGATAGTGATTTAGAAATTGCAAGGTTTTATTATTATTATTATTATTATTATTATTATTATTATTATTATTATTATTATTATTATTATTATTATTATTATTAAGTATTGATATCAATATATTCTCATCATAATTTTTAATTTACTTCCCACGTGTTAAACACATTTGTAACCATTTTATTAATTAAAGTACATATATCAATGTATGTCTTGTGCTTAGAGTTTGTCGGTGGAGCTAGAGGAATGGATGTTTGTTTTCACTTTTGGAATGATCTCCGACAAAGATTTTTGTTTGAACTTGAAAATTGAGAGCACTTTATGCTTTGAACTTGTACGTTAATCTAAATTAGGTTAGGTTTTTATAATGGAGTGGTTGTTACTTCATGGGAACCTAATTTAGATTTGAAATGCATTGCGAATAACAAGGATTCCACAATATCAATTGGTTGTTACCGAAATCTAGAAAGAGAAAGCCACCGACTAACAAACCTACGTTTTAGTGTTATTGTCCTATTTTATGTTGTTTCCAAATTCTATTAGTTTTAAAATTGTATTTTATTATGAAAATCATAATAATGAAGATACGATGACTTAGACGAATTTGTAATTTATCGATCAAGCTTTGTTAGATGTTATTAAAAAGAATCTACTTACTTTTGAATAGATAAGTTAATATGAAAAAAATATAACTGAATGATATATTATGTTAATAATATAATATATAGGACTTTTGAATACTTGAATAAGTATATAAAAAAATTAAAGATAATAAAATAATATATTTTAATAATATTTATGTTAATTGTATAACAATTATATTCATGGAATTTAAGATCTAGGGTAGGTTTTTTATTAGAATATTTTAATAATGTGAGATGTTTTTGTTTATAATCCATTACTTAGTTATATTTATTTATTTTGTGTATTATTATAATATTATTATACATTTAACGGGTTAAATGAGAAAATATTTATGTTTAATGTTATAATTAATGTAAAAATCTGATATATATCCCAAGCTTAAAGTTAAAGTCAAAATTTAGTATAGACTAATCAACTTATAGCTTATAGGTAAAAGGTATGAAAATTTATAAGATTTATTTGAATTATGTTTGAATTTGTGTAATTGTTAAGTTTGTTTTTGGGGTATGACTAAGTAAATTTAATAATTTAAAGTTTTTCTGATTTTGTTAAGTTAGTAGCTCATAAATAAATATTAAATCTGAGGTGAACTCGATTTAAAATTATGTTCGAGGTATGCTCGATTTAATGTCATGATCGATGTATGTTTAATTTAGAATTATGACTGGGATGAATAATGTTGACAACCGTAATGTCACTAAGAAGAAAGTTGAGGCAATAAAGTTAGAGGTTGAGAAGAGTAACAAAACCTTTCAAGTTGAACAGTTTGAAGTAAATGAGCAACTTTTGAACGTATGTGAGGATAAACATACAACATTATAAGCCCCAATATATATGTATGATTTTTTAATAATAGTATGAAGTTGATAATTTTTCTATATTTGTAACAATGTATTCAATTTTTTGATATTAAATGTTATGATGTATTATTGTGATGACATAATGACGTACTCAAACATCAATTGTTATTAAGAATTAAGTGTTAGAAATGTAGGTTGAGATTAAGAGGGGATAAATTGATCTTTTGAAAGTTTTGCCCACTTTTAAGAATACAAATTATCTATTTCAAAGATTAAGAATTCTAATCAAATATTGATCTAAGAAAATCAAGAAGTTTTGTATAAGGCACAAGCAGAATTAAAGAGTGTAAAGAATTAGAGAAAGAAACACAAGATTTATACTGGTTCACCCACATCACAGGGCTACATCCAGTTCTCAACCAAATTCTAGTTGAGTTTCACTGGATTGATTATGTTTCTGATTACAAACCTGAATCACAAAACATCCAACCTGCAGCAAGAACCAAATTCCAATTTTTGCACCAAACCTATACCAAGAACCAAGTTCCAATTCTTGAATCAACCTGCAGCCAAATTCCAGCTACAGAACCAGTGCCTAAAACTTCCAAACACCATACAATACAAATTATGAATTACAGAAAACAAAGAGAAGAAACTAGAACAATCAAACTCGATTTATGCAGATGCAAATCTTGCTCTGCAGAATAATTTTCTTCACATACAAAAATGTCTCAAGAAAGAACTTTGAAAAACTTAACAGAAACTAGCACACTTCTTCCTTGAAAAGATCTTCATTGATTGCTTGATTTATATATCAAAGATGTGTTTTAAAACGTTGAAGCAAATCTGTTTATATAAAGACTTTTTCTAACAAATTGGTTTAATTAATCGGTTAAAACATCTTTTAATCGATTAAAATGTGTTTGACCATTTTATAGATTTATTTTAACTGATGCAAATGCGATTTAATCAATTAAAAAAGTTATACAACAATTTCTTAAGTTATTTTAATCGATTGATTTACGGTTTAATCGATTATAATACTACCATATAAATTCTCAAAACTTCACAAGTGATTTTAACTAATAAAAGCATGATTTAATCGATTAAAATATTTAACAAAAATTTCTCTAAGTTGATTTAATTTATTAATTCGATATTACATCGATTAAAATACTGAAAGAACTCTTTTTAAAATATCTTAAGTTATTTTAATCGATTAATTCGAAGTTACATCGATTAAAATACTGATAAAACACTTTTTAAAACATCTCAAGTGATTTTAATCGATTAATTCAAAATTACATCAGTTAAAATACTGACATAATATTTTCAAATAAATTTCTAATAAAAACAATCGATTAATTCACGGTTTACCGTAAATGAAATGAAAATAAATTTCTAATAAAAACAATCTATTAATTCACCGTTTACCCTAAATGAAATGAAAGGAACTAGTTAGGGATGCTTTTCCTCTCTCTTTTTGTGTTTTATGGGTCTCCCAATGGTCAAAATCATAGTGATTGGTGCATGTTTTTACAACAAAAATGGGCTGTTATTATAAGGACCAAAAAGACAAAGGAAAGTTTTATACAAGTGAATATCGGGTGGGACATTGGTCCTTGAAAGAGACTTACAAAACCTTTGTTAACGACATTGCTTTAGCTTTGGAGTGACGTTAGTATGATCTCAAAAGTGTCATATAAGTCCTTCACAAAAGTATATAAAAACTATATATACTTTTTGTCACTTTATATCATTTACTTTTCCTTTTCTTTGGGAATTCTTTTTAACCTCTTTATAAATAAACTTACACACATAAGTGTGAAGCTAACGAAGATAAAACAGAAAAGAAATTTTGCAAATTGAATTGGAAATTTTTTATCATTGTTGTTAAATATAATTGCTCAATATTGTTTAGTTACAAAATAGATGTATGAGTTAAGATTTATAAATTAATTTATAACGGAAGCAAAATTGTCTACAAGGAGAGAAGTGATAATTAATATTGGTAATCCTGACTAGTTTTGAAAATTTGCGTTGAAGCCACTACTCACTTGCAATACTTTTTCCTTCTTTTAGATGGATAGCTTATATTAATCAAGATGACTATAAGTGGTGTCAATTTAAACAGGTAAAATAAACTTACCTTCCCCAGGTAAGGTTTACTCTCCAAAACATACATACATAAAATAGGGAAAAAATTGTTTGATAACTTTTAAAAAAAAAAAATTTGAACAGAAGATAATAATATGAAAATTTGTGACGAAAGTTGAAAAATAATTTTAATAAGTTTATAATAATTAATAAAAAAAATGAATGACTCTTCGTGAAAACTTTGATTTTTATTAACGAAAACATAAACAGATATATAAAATACCTTTTATCAGTTTTGCCTTTTTAAATTAAAAAATAAAAGTATTTTTTTATAAAATTATTTTAATAAAAAAGTTATCAAATAAGGTTTTTGTTTTAAGAAAAAAAGGAAATACAATAATCTTCAACAATCAAACATGTGAAACCCATACTTTCATACGCTTTTTCTTTAAAGCTCTATAAAAAGAAAAATCAACGTTTTCCTTTGAACCAAACTTGTGCAATATG